TGTAACTTCAAAATGATTGACGTTGTACAAAACAAATTCATCAGTGATTGGATTGTCTCTAACAAATCTAACCAATCAGAGTATCAAACTTGATAACGTCGTCATGTAGGCCGGCTGTAGACCAACCCATCGGTTTCTGGGACCAATCAGAACGGTCAGTCCATAGGTCCCTCTCCTCACAAGGAACACATTTACCGTAAGAACCAATAAAGTCCAACTTGATAGATTTTCCGCCATTTAGAATTTTGTGAAATACACTTAAAATGCTACTTCTCTGGCACTGAATTACCAATCTTTCAAAACTTGATATATGGTTTCTATGGACAAAGGTCTGTAAACACATTATAATCCAGACTAGTACTATCAAACAAACATGTCCACAACTGACCAATAAACATTCACGTGGGTGTGGTCTGTCAAATAAATACATATAAATCAGTCACGGATATTTGTATTGTAACGAAACTTGGTACATATGTTCCAAACACTGTGAAGACTCAATATATGTAAGCACATGGAGCTATAACAGATACATTTTTATATTTCTTTTGTTTGACTTTTGTTAACACATTCTATGCTCGCTTCGAGGCAGACAATACCGAGCCATCCAGAAAAGGTCCTCGCTGCTCCAGACGACCAGGTGCTGTCGCTCTTCGAGGCTGATGTGAGGAAAACTCTCAAAAGAGTGAATACTTACAAAGCCGTTGGCCCAGACGGCATCCCTGGCCGCGTCCTCAGAATGTGCGCTGACCAGCTGGGGGGGGGGCGTCGGCGTCTTCTCTGACATCTTCCACCTGTCCCTGACCCAGGCTGTAGTCCCCACTTCCTTCAAGGAGATCTTCATCGTCCCAGTGACCCCAAAAAAACAAGGTGACATGCCAAAATGACTATCGCCCAGTCGCACTCACCCCTGTCTTCATGAAGTGCTTGGAGAGGCTGGTCATGGCCCACATCAAGGCCAGCATGCCAGACACACTGGACCCGCTCCAATCTGTCTACCGCTGCAACAGATCCATCGCTATTCACACGGCTGTAACACATCTGGATAAGAGGAACACCTATGTGTTGTTCCCTCCAAGCTCAACACCAAGCTCAGAAACCCTGGGTCTGGACACCACCCTTCTGCAACTGGATCCTGGACGTCCTGACGGGCCGACCACAACACACGCTGTGAACAGGCTTGGCAACACCACCTCCTCCACACTGACTCCCCAGGGGTGTGTCCTCAGCCCTCTGCTGTACTGTGTGGCTTTGCACGACACCACGGTTGTAGGCCTGACAACGATGAGTCAACCTATAGGGAGGAGGTCCCCACTTGTCCGAATTTTCATTGTTTTACCATCCTTGTGAGGACTTCTGGTGCCCACTAGGATAGTGAAACCAAACACACACACACACACACACAAAACACACAAACACAATATACATTCAGGCTACACGATTACTGCTACCAGACTCTTATTTACTATTGCTAATACTGCCCAATTTAAACACTTGCCCCCCCAAACCCCCTTTCTCTGATACGTGTGTAAATATTGTTCTTATGCTAAAATGTTTATTGTATTCTACAGGGACATTTACTTTATGTTCGTATACTTCTCTTTCTTATCGTATTGTTATTTATTATTGTCCAGAAGGAACCAGCATGTAAGCATTTCGTTGGACGGTGTATACCGTGAGTATCTAAGCATTTCGTTGGACGGTGTATACCATGAGTATCTAAGCATTTCGTTGGATGGTGTATACCGTGAGTATCTAAGCGTTTCGTTGGACGGTGTATACCATGAGTATCTAAGCATTTCGTTGGACGGTGTATACCGTGAGTATCTAAGCGTTTCGTTGGACGGTGTATACCGTGAGTATCTAAGCATTTCGTTGGACGGTGTATACCGTGAGTATCTAAGCGTTTCGTTGGACGGTGTATACTGTGAGTATCTAAGCGTTTCGTTGGATGGTGTATACCGTGAGTATCTAAGCATTTCGTTGGATGGTGTATACCGTGAGTATCTAAGCATTTCGTTGGACGGTGTATACCGTGAGTATCTAAGCATTTCGTTGGACGGTGTATACCGTGAGTATCTAAGCATTTTGTTGGACGGTGTATACCGTGAGTATCTAAGCATTTCGTTGGACGGTGTATACCGTGAGTATCTAAGCATTTTGTTGGACGGTGTATACCATGAGTATCTAAGCATTTCGTTGGACGGTGTATACCGTGAGTATCTAAGCATTTCGTTGGACGGTGTATACCGTGAGTATCTAAGCATTTCGTTGGACGGTGTATACCGTGAGTATCCTTGAAACACGTGTAATGGCTGATGTATTTGGTGCTGTTCTTCTTGTCTGTAAACACATCAGCCAGACAGGAGGACTCTGGTCCTGTTTACATCAGCCAGACAGGAGGACTCTGTTCCTGTTTACACTCTCACCCTCTGATCATCAGGCTGTTTGTTTAGCAGACATACGAAAACAAAAAAGGCGGCCAGTGTGATTCCAGTGTAATGCCGGTATGATGCCAGTATGATACCAGTAAAATGCCAGTGCGATGCCAGTGTAATGCCGGTATGATGCCAGTATGATACCAGTAAAATGCCAGTGCGATGCCAGTGTAATGCCGGTATGATGCCAGTATGATACCAGTAAAATGCCAGTGCGATGCCAGTGTAATGCCGGTATGATGCCAGTATGATACCAGTAAAATGCCAGTGTAATGCTGGTATGATGCCAGTATGATACCAGTAAAATGCCAGTGCGATGCCAGTGTAATGCCGGTATGATGCCAGTATGATACCAGTAAAATGCCAGTGCGATGCCAGTGTAATGCCGGTATGATGCCAGTATGATACCAGTAAAATGCCAGTGTGATGCCAGTGTAATGCCGGTATGATGCCAGTATGATACCAGTAAAATGCCAGTGCGATGCCAGTGTAATGCCGGTATGATGCCAGTATGATACCAGTAAAATGCCAGTGCGATGCCAGTGTAATGCAGGTATGATACCAGTAAAATGCCAGTACGATGCCTGTTTGATGCCAGTTTAATTCCGGTATGATGCCAGTTGATACCAGTAAAATGCCAGTACGATGCCTGTATGATGCCAGTGTAATGCCGGTATGATACCAGTAAAATACCAGTACGATGCCTGTGTAATGCCAGTGTAATGCCGGTATGATGCCAGTATGATACCAGTAAAATGCCAGTACGATGCCTGTGTGATGCCAGTGTAATGCCGGTATGATACCAGTAAAATACCAGTACGATGCCTGTGTGATGCCAGTGTAATGCCGGTATGAAACCAGTAAAATGCCAGTACGATGCCTGTAGATGCCAGTTTAATTCCGGTATGATGCCAGTTGATACCAGTAAAATGTCAGTGCGATGCCAGTGTTTTGGATTCTACCTGGCGTTTAGTTTTTTTTTACCTTCTCACCTGTGATTCAGCCTAGACGTACTTTAGACAGAGAACTACCAGATAACATCTGATACAATATAGCATAAACACAAATAACAAGCAAACCTGGCTCAAGTAATTCTATTGTACTGTAGCTTTAATATATTTACATTGTTCTCTTTACAGAAATACCCAACCACAGAACGGACATCGCCATTTTAAAGACGCTCTCTGTGGTGACTGGATGATGCTTCTGTCAGAATCACATTTTCTTTCTTATAAACAATTAAGTGCTGTGTCTGTTCTAGATTTAAGAGAAAGATAAGTTGTACAACCCATTCTATGTCTATGCTAGAATCATTCCCAGTCCCATCTGTTTCCTTATGAGTTCCTGTTAGATCACAGATAGATCAATTGTTTTGGTAGGCTGGGTCCCGGAAGTGATATGTTCCTTACGACCCTCCTGCTGTGGCCGGAGATCACGCCTGCATCCCAAATTGCACCATATTCTCTATATAGTGCACCTTGGTCAAAAGTAGTGCACTATATAGGGAATAGAATGCTATTTGGGACGCATCCCACATCTCCTGTTCTGAGTAATACTGACTAATGAGGAGACACTCAATAACCCCTTCAATAAACAGACTGTTCTCTTCAGGAGTTAATGGACATTTAAACCAAGTAGCTGGCCAACACTGCAACACACGCAAGATTTGGTTCTGAGATGAATGGACATTCAGATTCACTCTTTCAACTTTGGTTGACCACCAAATTTGTCCATTGCAGAAAAGTGTCCAAACCAGTGGAGGCTGCTGAGGGGAGGACGGCTCATAATAATGACCGTAACGGAGCAAATGGAATGGCATCACACACCTGGAGACCATGGAAACCATGTGTTTCCATGGAATGGCATCACACACCTGGGAACCATGGAAACCATGTGTTTCCATGGAATGGCATCACACACCTGGGAACCATGGAAACCATGTGTTTCCATGGAATGGCATCACACACCTGGGAACCATGGAAACCATGTGTTTCCATGGAATGGTATCACACACCTGGAAACCATGGAAACCATGTGTTTCCATGGAATGGCATCACACACCTGGGAACCATGGAAACCATGTGTTTCCATGGAATGGCATCACACACCTGGGAACCATGGAAACCATGTGTTTCCATGGAATGGTATCACACACCTGGAAACCATGTGTTTGATGTATTTGATACCATTACACTCATTCCACTCCAGCCATTAGCACGACCCCGTCCTCCCCAATTAAGGTGTCACCAACCTCCTGTGGTCCAAACCACAGCCCTATCTAGGGGGTGAGAGGATTAAATTAGATCATGCTTTGTCGGCTATGCATATTTTAAAGGCAACGTTCCCGCATTCGCGGAGGTAAACGCTGCTTATGTTAGCTCAATCGGAAATTACCTTTTAAAATGTCAAGCTTGCTATTACGTGGATCTACCTCTGATCGGATTGAATCCCATCTTAAATGATTAGCTAATTGTTATTTTTTATTCTTCCCTGTACTCCCTTCATCCTCCTCCTTTTCTCTTATCCTCCTCTTCCACCTTTTCTCCATCCTCTCCTCCTTTCTCAGCGTGTGTAGGACCTCTGCCAGGTAAACTGTCCCTCCCCTCCTCCTCCTCCTCCTCCTCCATCATTGAGGTGTTCCTGTGTGTGTGACCGAGTGCTGGGTCTCTCTCTCCTCATCATGGTCTCCCTCCTCCTCCGGGGGGGTAGCATGGTACTGGTACTGCCTCTCTGCCCCTGCCCGTACCCCCCGACACCCCCCGACCTCGTCCCCTTCCTCTCCTCCCCCTTCAGAAACTCAGCCACCACCCTGAAGTACTCCAACACAGCCACGTGACTCCAGTTACCTCCCCCGTCTCCCTCCTCCAGTCCGAACCCGCAGTGCCCGCCCCTCTCCGTCAGCGCCAGCAGGAAGTAAGGGTTGTTCTGGAAGAGGGCGAGGGGCAGGGTGGAGGGGGGCGGCAGGAGGGGGTCGTCACGGCTACAGAGGCAGAGCACAGGAACCGCCACCTCGTCTGCGTCCCTCAGTGGTTCGTTCCTCTCCCAGTAACTCTCCCAGTCCCTGGCAGGAAGGCCCCGCTCCCCCAGCACCCAGGCTGCCACCCCACCTACCCCTGCTACCCCAGCTCCCCTAAGGGAGGGTGGGGGAGCAGTGGCCCCTGTGGCACCTGGTCTGGCTCCAGAGGTGGAGGCTGTAGCTCCAGGGATGTGTGTGTAGGCCCCAGGCGGGAAGGGTCCTGTTGGGTGTTGGTTGGGTGCTGTGGCCCCTGCTCTGTTGGTTGGAACCCTGGGATTGGAGGCAAGGGTGGGGGAGATGGTTTTGGACCTGGAAATGGCCTCCAGTTTGGGGTTGTGGGGTCCCGTCAGATGGGGGGTGTTCAGTGGGGGTACAGCAGCCCCTGGTTTGGTGGTTGGTGTCCCACTGGCGGTTCTGGTCGCTGGGATCGGTGTGTGACTGGTTGGGTGGTGGGGGATGTTGGGTCGCAGTGCGGAGCAGAACAGGGTCTCTTCAAAGTCTCTGAGGGAAGAACAGTGGAGAGCCCTGTCCACGTCTAACACCCCACTAAGGGCACTGGCATACCTGGGGAGGGAAAGTTTTGGGGAGGGAGAAGGAGTCAGAACATAATCATGTCTCTGAAGCTTTAGCTCAGCTTACCAACCCCATCATGACTATGGCCGGGATTCAATGCAAGGCATGTTAGAGTAGCGCACTATAATGGACTTTTCAAGGTAATTTACAGTTGAGCCGACAACGTTTATCTTGAAGGTGATCTCCGCAAATGCAGGGGAAAATGACTTCTAAAGGTACACAGTCTGGTGTAACAGTAGTCTGTGCTATAACATACCTTGCTTTGAATCATCATCATCATCACTCTCCTACCTGCTGAGCTGCAGTTTGCGGTGGACCAGCGCCCCCCAGCGGTAGAGTGGCGGCAGGGGCGTGTCAAACCACAGCTGGCCCTGCAGGACAGGTGAGACGCAGGCTGCAGCCGTCAGGTAAGAAGAGGAGCCACACTCTCCCAAGTAGGACAGCAGCAGGCCCGACCCAGAACCCTCGCTCACCGCTACCAGCGCGGAGGACGGGTGCCGGCTACGCACATACGCTACCGCCTGGAGGACACGGGGTCAAAGGGTCGTTTTTAATATCGTTACAAAACTAGCTAGCCTACTGATATTACTACACTCACTAGGAGAGTTCCTAGGACTAGTTAAATAGTCTCACTAGGATGGTTCCTAGGACTAGTTAAATAGTCTCACTAGGATGGTTCCTAGGACTAGTTAAATGGTCTCACTAGGAGGGTTCCTAGGACTAGTTAAATGGTCTCACTAGGATGGTTCCTAGGACTAGTTAAATGGTCTCACTAGGATGGTTCCTAGGACTAGTTAAATGGTCTCACTAGGATGGTTCCTAGGACTAGTTAAATGGTCTCACTAGGATGGTTCCTAGGACTAGTTAAATGGTCTCACTAGGATGGTTCCTAGGACTAGTTAAATGGTCTCACTAGGATGGTTCCTAGGACTAGTTAAATGGTCTCACTAGGACTAGTTAAATGGTCTCACTAGGATGGTTCCTAGGACTAGTTAAATGGTCTCACTAGGAGGGTTCCTAGGACTAGTTAAATGGTCTCACTAGGAGGGTTCCTAGGACTAGTTAAATGGTCTCACTAGGATGGTTCCTAGGACTAGTTAAATGGTCTCACTAGGAGGGTTCCTAGGACTAGTTAAATGGTCTCACTAGGACTAGTTAAATGGTCTCACTAGGATGGTTCCTAGGACTAGTTAAATGGTCTCACTAGGATGGTTCCTAGGACTAGTTAAATGGTCTCACTAGGATGGTTCCTAGGACTAGTTAAATGGCCTAGGACTAGTTAAGTGGCCTAGGCCTACCTAGATTTACATTTACATTTTAGTCATTTAGCAGACGCTCTTATCCAGAGCGACTTACAGTTAGTGAATACATAATACATTTTTTTTTTTTTTATACTGGCCCCCGTGGGAATCGAACCCACAACCCTGGCGTTGCAAACGCCATGCTCTATCAACTGAGCTACATCCCTGCCGGCCATTCCCTCCCCTACCCTGGACGACGCTGGGCCAATTGTGTGCCGCCCATGAGTCTCCCGGTCGCGGCCGGCTGCGACAGAGCCTGGATTTGAACCAGGATCTCTAGTGGCACAGTTAGCACTGCGATGCAGTGCCTTAGACCACTGCGCCACTCAGGAGACAGGTCTGTAACCTGAGGTAATGTGTGCATGGAGACCATGTTGTATGCATGTTTCCCATTCAGCATTCGTATGTTCAACATTATATACAATATCATTATTAGGTCAATTATAAACCATACAATTATTATGATAATATTATTGTTTACCCTACCTGCACCAGGTCAGCAGAGTCTCCATACTCAGTCAGCCGTGGCGTGGTGAGAGGGCATCCCCCCGTGCCCCTACGGTGAAACACGAGGGTGTAGAAACCCTGATGGAGCGCCATTCTACACAGACCCCTCAGGTGGGGCGTCACCCCTCCCCAGGAGTGAGGGATGAGAAGGAGGATTGGAGGCGTGGAGGTGTGGCACCCCAATGCCTTCCCCCCAGGAAGGTGCTCTTTCCCCCTCTCCCGTTCCACCCCCTCTCCCCCCCTTACCCCCACAGCCCAGTCCAGAGCCACTATCCCCCCGTCTTTCAGTAGGAGGTGTTCCCGAGTAAAGGTGACCTCCTCTAGTCCCTGGTCTCCTGCAGTCAGGCCACCCAATACCAAGCTTGAGAGGGTCTGGAGGTGGGGGTCACCCCTGGGCCACGGGGCCAGTCTGGGTCTGGCCAGGGAACCACAGTACTGGAGCAGGAACCGGGCCAGGGCTGTGGGCTTACAGGCTAGAGTGGGTCCTGGGGCTGAGAATGGGTCTGGGGCTGGATGTGATCCCAAGCCAAGGCCCAGTCCTCTCTCCCTACCCCAGCCTCTCTCTGGTGAAGGTCCTGTGGTTAGGCCTGGGGGTGATCCATGTCCCTGTGTTCCTCCCCTCTCCTTGCCCAAGCTCCAGCCTTCCTGCACTCCTCCCCTCTCCTTGCCCCAGCCTGGCTCTGTCTCAGGGTGGTAGATGGGGAGCTCCAGGACCCAGCACAGTGCCACCCACAGACACCAGGCGGCAGCCCTCACCCCCAGTCTCGCCCTTCGCTGTACCGGGGGCCAACGGAGAGCCAGGGAGAACAGGAGCAGCAGCAGAGAGGGCAGGATGCACAAGACCCCGTCACACTGCCACTCACAGGAGGAGACGACATCCTGCTCAGTGGCCATTGTTACCGTGTTTAGAACCAGGTCTAGAACTCCACAATGTCCAGGTCTAGAACTCCACAATGTCCAGGTCTAGAACTCCACAATGTCCACGTCTAGAACTCTAGAATGTCCAGGTCTAGAACTCTAGAATGTCCAGGTCTAGAACTCTAGAATGTCCAGGTCTAGAACTCCACAATGTCCAGGTCTAGAACTCTAGAATGTCCAGGTCTAGAACTCCACAATGTCCAGGTCTAGAACTCTAGAATGTCCAGGTCTAGAACTCTAGAATGTCCAGGTCTAGAACTCTAGAATGTCCATGTCACCTTACCCTCTCTCTCTTTTAGATACCAAATATATTTCCCTCTCACCCTCTTTTCTATCTCTCCGACCTCTCTCCTTCTCTACTCTCCCCAACCCCCTGTCAGTCCCTCCCTCCCTCCCTAAATCATTAGCAATCAGTGCTGGGCTCAAACTCACCATAGATATAGAGTGAAAAGAACAAACACAACCCTTTTATTCCTTGTCTACACAGAGCAGGTCATTTGGTTCAACAGAGAACAGGTACACATGTTGCACTGAGCAAACATGAATATCTAAACTCAACCAAAGTGGTCACATCAACAATAGGCTGTTGCTAAACTAGGGTTTATATGGTGCACACACACACACACACACACACACACACACACACACCAGGGATACTGTTAGCGGCGACAGCTGGCTTTTGGCCTTTAAAAAAAAATAGAAAAGCTGATTAAATAAAATTGGCAACTTCTACAGGAGAAGAGAAAGATGCCCATTGTGATGTAATGTTTTTTTTTATCCGTTAATGGAAATACCAGTTGACCGGTCATGCTTATTGGTCTATAGCAGGGCTTTCCGACCCTTTTCCCGGAGCGCTACCGTCCTGTAGGTTTTCACTCCAACCCTAATCTAGCACAGCCGATTCTAATATTTAGCTGGTTGATAAACTGAACCAGGTTACATAAATATTCATTATGTATCTTATTTATCACAGCATACAGAGCCTATGAGAGGAAAATCTGACAGACAGAGTTTGTATAATCCCTATCATTGCGCAACAAATGCAATCATGTGTTAAAAATAGTTTTTGGCCATGATAACTACTATTATTATTTCTCAACTGGTAATTGAAAGCTTCCCATTCGCCATTCAAATGCATAGACAACAGAAGGCAGGCTTCTTCAGCGCGTCACACACCACTTTGCAATGAGCTGGAGGCAGTATGCATTCTGAAAACATATACAGTGGGGGAAAAAAAGTATTTAGTCAGCCACCAATTGTGCAAGTTCTCCCACTTAAAAAGATGAGAGAGGCCTGTCATTTTCATCATAGGTACACGTCAACTATGACAGACAAATTGAGGAAAAAAAATCCAGAAAATCACATTGTAGGATTTTTAATGAATTTATTTGCAGATTATGGTGGAAAATAAGTATTTGGTCACCTACAAACAAGCAAGATTTCTGGCTCTCACAGACCTGTAACTTCTTCTTTAAGAGGCTCCTCTGTTCTCCACTCGTTACCTGTATTAATGGCACCTGTTTGAACTTGTTATCAGTATAAAAGACACCTGTCCACAACCTCAAACAGTTCACACTCCAAACTCCACTATGGCCAAGACCAAAGAGCTGTCAAAGGACACCAGAAACAAAATTGTAGACCTGCACCAGGCTGGAAAGACTGAATCTGCAATAGGTAAGCAGCTTGGTTCGAAGAAATCAACTGTGGGAGCAATTATTAGGAAATGGAAGACATACAAGACCACTGATAATCTCCCTCGATCTGGGGCTCCACGCAAGATCTCACCCCGTGGGGTCAAAATGATCACAAGAACGGTGAGCAAAAATCCCAGAACCACACGGGGGGACCTAGTGAATGACCTGCAGAGAGCTGGGACCAAAGTAACAAAGCCTACCATCAGTAACACACTATGCCGCCAGGGACTCAAATCCTGCAGTGCCAGACGTGTCCACCTGCTTAAGCCAGTACATGTCCAGGCCCGTCTGAAGATTGCTAGAGTGCATTTGGATGATCCAGAAGAGTATTGGGAGAATGTCATATGGTCAGATGAAACCAAAATAGAACTTTTTGGTAAAAACTCAACTCGTCGTGTTTGGAGGACAAAGAATGCTGAGTTGCATCCAAAGAACACCATACCTACTGTGAAGCATGGGGGTGGAAACATCATGCTTTGGGGCTGTTTTTTCTGCAAAGGGACCAGGACGACTGATCCGTGTAAAGGAAAGAATGAATGGGGCCATGTATCGTGAGATTTTGAGTGAAAACCTCCTTCCATCAGCAAGGGCATTGAAGATGAAACGTGGCTGGGTCTTTCAGCATGACAATGATCCCAAACACACCGCCCGGGCAACGAAGGAGTGGCTTCGTAAGAAGCATTTCAAGGTCCTGGAGTGGCCTAGCCAGTCTCCAGATCTCAACCCCATAGAAAATCTTTGGAGGGAGTTGAAAGTCCGTGTTGCCCAGCGACAGCCCCAAAACATCACTGCTCTAGAGGAGATCTGCATGGAGGAATGGGCCAAAATACCAGCAACAGTGTGTGAAAACCTTGTGAAGACTTACAGAAAACGTTTGACCTGTGTCATTGCCAACAAAGGGTATATAACAAAGTATTGAGTAACTTTTGTTATTGACCAAATACTTGTTTTCCACCATAATTTGCAAATAAATTCATAAAAAATGTTTTTCTCATTTTGTCTGTCATAGTTGACGTGTACCTATGATGAAAATTACAGGCCTCTCATCTTTTTAAGTGGGAGAACTTGCACAATTGGTGGCTGACTAAATACTTTTTTCCCCCACTGTAGCTACTTAATTGTTTGAAACCTGAACGTTTTACTACATATTATGAGGCATGTTTTAGCCTAGGCTAAATCCGACCATATCCTTTTCTACTATGGGGGATAGTAGATTGACAGGCTCATAGGACACGATTCTGTGCTTCCAACTTTGTGGCAACAGTTTGGGGAAGGCCCTTTCCTGTTTCAGCATGACAATGCCCCCGTGCACAAAGCGAGGTCCATACAGAAATGGTTTGTTGGGATCGGTGTGGACAAACTTGACTGGCCTGCACAGAGCCCTGACCTCAACCCCATTGAACACCTTTGGGATGAATTGGAACGCCGACTGCGAGCCAGGCCTAATCTCCCAACATCAGTGCCCGACCTCACTAATGCTCGTGGCTGAATGGAAAGCAAGTCCCTGCAGCAATGTTTCAACATCTAGTGGAAAGCCTTCCCAAAAGAGTGGAGGCTGTTATTGCAGCAAAGGGTGGACCAACTCCATATTAATGCCCATGATTTTGGAATGAGATGTTTGACGAGCAGTTGTCCGCATACTTTTGTCAAATTGGTGTATATAGCCTAATTAGCCTACTCCTGTCTATAGATAAATCAATAATATCATTCAAAATAACCTACTAAAGCATGATTTGGCCACAGAGGATCATTCGCTTCCCCTAGCCTTAAAAATAAATATTGTGGATTGTTTTAAATCGCATTGCCTACAGTCAGAAGGAAAGTGGGCAGCGTGCACTACAAATAGATGATGGTTGAGTTGCAACTGTCCGTGAAAAGTAGAGACCCAGCCAGGCATATCGCAATGTGGAAAAAGTGAAGTGGTCTGAATACTTTCTGAATGCACTCAAGCTCTGTCAGGTTGGATGGGGAGCATCGCTGCACAGCTATTTTCGGGTCTCTTCAGACATCTTCGATCTGGTTCAAGTCCGGGCTCGGGCTGGACTTGAACCCTTTCATCAAGGATCTCTCTGTACTTTGCTCCGTTCATCTTTCCCTAGATCCTGACTCTAGTCTCCCAGTCCCTGTCGCTGAAAAACATCCCCACAGCATGATGCTGCCACCACCATGCTTCACCATAGGGATGGTGCCAGGTTTCCTCCAGACGTGACGCTTGGCATACAGTCCAAAGATTTCAATCTTGGTTTCATCAGACGAGGGAATCTTGTTTCTCATGGTCTGAGAGTCCTTTAGGTGCCTTTTGGTAAACTCCAAGCGGCCTCTCATATGCCTTTTACTGAGGAGTGGCTTCCGTCTGGCCACTCTACCATAAAGGCCTGATTGGTGGAGTGCTGCAGAGATGGTTGTCCTTCTGGAAGGTTCTCCCATCTCCACAGAGGAACTCTGGAGCTCTGTCATGTCAGAGTGACCATCGGGTTCTTGGTCACCTCCCTGATCAAGGCCCTTCTCCCCCGAATTTCTCAGTTTGGCCGGGCGGCCAGCTCTAGGAAGAGTCTTGGTGGTTCCAAACTGACGCACTGGCAACTGTGGGACCTTATTTAGACAGGTGTGTGCTTTTCCAAGTCATGTCCAATCAATGGAAACAGGATGCACCTGAGCTCAATTTCAAGTGTCATACCAAGGGGTCTGAATACTTATGTACATAAAGTATTTCTGTTTTTTATTTTTAATAAATGTGCATTATGGGGTATTGTGTGTAGATTGATGAGGAAAACAATTTCATTTAATCAATTTTAGAATAAGGCTGTAATGTAACAATATGTGGAAAAAGTGAAGGGGTCTGAATACTTTCCGAATGCTCTGTATGGTTCCGGTACATTTCTCAAATGTCTGGTAAATTTAAAATGTCAGGCGCCTCATTTTCATAACGGAAACCCTGACACACACACACACACACACACACACACACCCATCAGAGGTTGAACAGTAGCTCTGAGGTCTGGTCATTGATTCTGAGAACAGCAGTAGATTTCACTTTGTTTCTCTCTCTCTCTTGCTGTGTGTGTGTGTGTGTGTGTGTGTGTGTGTGTGTGTGTGTGTGTGTGTGTGTGTGTGAGAGAGAGATAGGGAGGGAGAGACTGGGTGATTTGGCGCCACCTTCTGGCCTAATACCTAATAACACACAGCTACTATATAAGCAGCTCCATTAGAAAATGAAAGGATGGATGAAACCTTTTTAAAAAACAGTTTTTATTGTCTCGTCCTTTACAGAACACAAAACTCTTTTCAATTTTTTAAATTTTTATATCGCACTATTTACATTTTGAGAAGGTTGACAGATCCAGAGATGGTAATTACTGAGTGTTGGTCGGCGATGGACGGATAAGGTGTGTGTGTGTGTGATCCTTTCGGCAAAACCTATCCTCTGAAAACAAAAATAAAAAAAACAATTAAACAAGCTTGAATCACTTACTTTAGTCCTTCAACCAGACCTGCATGAATCTTTTGAGCTGTAGGTAAAATACAAACTCAAAACTAGGGTGGGTTGCAAAATTCAGATTACCCACATAAAAAAAACACTACAGTTTATTATAGAATACTACAGGACTTACTATAGAATTCTGTATTAAACTGTAGTATACTGTAGAATATTATACTACACACGGTAGTATCCCTCGATCATGTGTAGTACTTAGTATATAATTTTAGTATACTGTAGAATACTATAGTAAATACTAGAGTATTATCCACAAAATAACACTGTAGTAAATACTACAATAATATCGGCAAACAAATTTTTTTTTATATAGTAAATAGTACAGTATTCAATTTGCATATAATCTGCCCATACCCCTCCCCCATATTCCAATTTGTGCCACCCATAAGTGAGAAACCGACATGCCAAGTATAGACCATATACTGTCTTCGCTACAGGTTATAGAAAAGAGCGGAAGCGCTGAACTCTGTTCCCAACAGGTTATGGAAAATTTGCTCTTTTAGTATTTCTCCAGTAGGTTTCCCACTTCTATGTCAAAGTTAATAAAAACATTTTAGTAAATACTACAGTATACTACAGTGTGCAAAAACACAACAGTAAATACTACTCTTTTTACTACAGTATTTATACTATAATAAACTTTGAATACTACAGTAAATACTACAGTATTTTTTCATATGGGAACTTTCACAAAATTCCCAGGTTTTCCAAAAATCCTGGTTGGAGTATTCCAGAACTCCGGCTTATTCCCTCCTGATTCCAGAATTCTTCAAACCGGGATTTCTGGAAAACCTGGGAATTTGGGGGAAATGACTGAAATTTTATGACCCTACTAACAACTCACTCACTCACAACCCTTTCCTCATACAGTAAGTTCAACTGACATCTCTCTCTAGGGGCCGAGCATTGGTGTGGTGTGTGTTTTAGTTTTTTGGGGGGTGGGCGTTATGTGTGTTTGAAGTTAGGGGCGTTATGTGTGTTTGAAGTCAGGCTGTGCCGTTGGTGTACTTGGATAGTTTATTCTCCAGGTCACAGATTCTCTTCTCCTGAGACAGAACTGTCGCCTTGAGATTCTGAACTTCCTCCAACAACCGCTCTACGAACTGAGGCTGGGGAGAGGGATGGAGGAAGGAGAGATGGAGGAAGGAGAGATGGAGAGATGGAGGAAGGAAGAGGGGTAAGGAGAGATGGAGGAAGGAAGAGGAGGAAGGAGAGATGGAGGAAGGAAGAGGGGGAAGGAGAGATGGAGGAAGGAAGAAGAGGAAGGAGAGATGGAGGAAGGAAGAGGGGTAAGGAGAGATGGAGGAAGGAGAGATGGAGGAAGGAAGAGGGGGAAGGAGAGATGGAGGAAGGAAGAGGGGGAAGGAGAGATGAAGGAAGAGGGGGAAGGAGAGATGGAGGAAGGAAGAGGGGGAAGGAGAGATGAAGGAAGCGGGGGAAGGAGAGATGGAGGAAGGGAAAGAGAGGAGTGTAGAAAAAGGTAGGAGATGGAAAGAAGGAGAAAAAAACAAGAAAGAGGTCAGAGACAGGACAGGGACAGGACAGACAAGTCAGACAGGTCAGGGACAGGACAGCTACAGGAGAGACAGGTAGGGGACAGGACAGACAGTTCAGGGAGAGACAGGTCAGGGACGGGACAGCTACAAGACAGACAGTAAGGGACAGACAGGTCAGGGACAGGACAGACAGGTCAGGGACAGGACAGACAGGTCAGGGTCAGGACAGCTATAGGAGAGATAGATCAGGCACAGGACAGACAGGTCAGGGACAGGAGAGACAGGTCAGGAACAGGAGAGACAGGTCAGGGACAGGACAGACAGGTCAGGGACAGGAGAGACAGGTCAGGAACAGGAGAGACAGGTCAGGGACAGAACAGACAGGTCAGGGACAGAACAGACAGGTCAGGGACAGGACAGACAGGTCAGGGACAGGAGAGACAGGTCAGGGACAGGAGAGACAGGTCAGGGACAGGACAGACAGGTCAGGGACAGGACAGACAGGTCAGGGACGGGACAGACAGGTCAGGGACAGGAGAGACAGGTCAGGGACAGAACAGACAGGTCAGGGACAGGAGAGACAGGTCAGGGACAGGACAGACAGGTCAGGGACAGAACAGACAGGTCAGGGACAGGATAGACAGGTCAGGGACAGAACAGACAGGTCAGGGACAAGGGTTTTTAGACAAACAGGCATACAGAGGTGATATATTTAGTGTGACTCACGGGCAGGTTGGCTGAGCCGTCGCAGGAAGACATGCTGCGTCTGGGGGTGGGTCTGGAGTCCAGAACATTCTTCCTGGCCACTTTGAGCTCGCGGCTCTTGGGAGGAACGTAGCCGTCCCTCATGGACTGAAGGATGGGGTCCTCATCTTGCCCCTCCAGCCACTCCTCTGGCTCCAGGGCCGGGTCGGGACCCGCCGTGTCTGGATACAGGTCATCCTGGAACAGGTCCGACTGGAGGGGACAGGAGCGGTGGGGTAGATAGTTTTAACAAGCCGTTAATGCAGGGGTGTCAAACTCATAACTCATATTATGGAGGGCCTAGTTTCTGCAGGTTTTTGGTTTTTCCTTTCAATTAAGACCTAGACAACCAGGTGAGGAGAGTTCCTTACTAATTAGTGACCTTAATTCATCAATCAAGTACAAGGGAGGAGCGAAAACCCACAGACACTCGGTCCTCCGTGGAAAGAGTCTGACACGTGTGTTAATGTAAGGAGAGAGGGGGAGAGAGTGTGGCTTACCTTTCTAGGTACTGTCATGGCGATGGGCTCACACTTCTTGTCATGGAGCTTATATAACCTGGAGAACAGTGAAAAGTCTGATTTAGAGAATAGCCACAACAAATACTCTCACATTAGCCTGCTGAGCTAAAGCCTACACATTGCATGTACCTGTGCATAACGTCCATCCCTAATTGTGTTTGTGTGTGTGTGTGTTTGGGTTTATTGGCATGGACCGTGTTACCAAGATTTACCACCCAAACCAACTCTTGGTTCCCGGGATAAATACCTGCGAGAAACTGGTAAATTATAATACATTATTTATATGAACAGCGTGACGTGAAATGGAACTGTTAAATTATATGTGATGTCTAAATCTGGCTTCTCTATGCTATCTCTATGATCAATCATCAACGCTCAGGGTGGGGACAGACAGCTGGTAATTTATTTTCTTGTGACAGGTACATTTGCTGCAGCATAGCCTATGCTAAAGTAATATTAGGACTGAATGCACGTCTAATTTACACATCTTCATCTTGCTTTCGGGGTCACCTTATTTTGTAATTGTAAAGATTTTTTTTATTTTATTGCAGCTGAAGAGTTTTTAAACAGCCTATCACTCGAATACTGTTGCTTTAAATCAGTGCGCACGCGAGCGCTCTCTCTGTTCTTTCTCTCGCTCTATCAATTACATTCAAATTGTATCCAAAACAGATAATCCCGTTGAAGATTGATATACAGTGCATTCGGAAAGTATTAAGACCCCTTGGACTTTTTCCACATTTTGTTACGTTACAGCGTTATTCTAAAATGGATTCGATTGTTTTTTCCCCCTCATCAATCTACACACATTACCCCATAATGACAAAGCAAAAACAGTTTTTTTGAAATGTTTGCAAATGTATATAAAATAAATAAATATAACATTTACATAAGTATTCAGACCCTTTACTCAAATGTTTTTTTAGAGGGTAGATAAGCTTTAATATTGCAGATAGATTGTAACTTCCATCAATGTAATTGTCTGCATCACTTCCAATCCCCAATATGGTTTTTTTTCTCGCAAATATACAGTCGTGGTCAAAAGTTTTGAGAATGACACAAGTATTGGTCATCACAAAGTTTGCTGCTTCAGTGTTTTTAGCTATTTTTGTCAGATGTTACTATGGTTTTCTGAAGTATAATTACAAGCATTCCATAAGTGTCAAAGGCTTTTATTGACAATTACATTAAGTTTATGCAAAGAGTCGATATTTGCAGTGTTGACCCTTCTTTTTCAAGACCTCTGCAATCCGCCCTGGCATGTTGTTAATTAACTTCTGGGCCACATCCTGACTGATGGCAGCCCATTCTTGCATAATCAATGCTTGGAGTTTGTCAGAATTTGTGGGGTTTTGTTTGTCCGCCCGCCTCTTGAGGATCGACCACAAGTTCTCAATGGGATTAAGGTCTGGGGAGTTTCCTGGCCATGGACCCAAAATGTCGATGTTTTGTTCCCTGAGCCACTTAGTTATCACTTTTGCCTTATGGCAAGGTGCTCCATCATGCTGGAAAAGGCATTGTTCGTCATCAAACTGTTCTTGGATGGTTGGGAGAACTTGCTCTCGGAGGATGTGTTGGTACCATTCTTTATTCATGGATGTGTTCTTAGGCAAAATTGTGAGTGAGCCCACTCCCTTGGCTGAGAAGCAACCCCACACATGAATGGTCTCAGGATGCTTTACTGTTGGCATGACACAGGACTGATGGTAGCGCTCACCTTGTCTTCTCCGGACAAGGTGTTTTTTTCCGGATGCCCCAAACAATCGGAAAGGGGATTCATCAGAGAAAATGACTTTACCCCAGTCCTCAGCAGTCCAATCCCTGTACCTTTTGCAGAATATCAGTCTGTCCCTAATGTTTTTCCTGAACCCTTCTATTCTCATCGTTTCTACAGATTGTAAATGGATATTATTATTTTTTGCTAAAAGTATTATTATATTACTGATCGATTGACTATGACTTTTCAGATCACCCAGTAATGCTATCTGCAAGGTTAGCTCCAGGTAAATATTGCAATCCTTTAGCCATTCCTGGACCCGTGTCCAAAAACAAGCTACAAATGGACAGTACCAAAACAAATGATCTAATGATTCTGTACTTTGTTGAAGCACCAGCGATTACAGCCTTGAGTCTTCTTGGGTATGACGCTACAAGCTTGACACACCTGTATTTGGGGAGTTTCTCCCATTCTTCTCTGCAGATCCACTCAAGCCCTGTCAGGTTGGATGGGGAACGTCGCTGCACAGCTATTTTCAGGTCTCTCCAGAGATGTTAGATCGGATTCAAGTCCAGGCTCTGGCTGGGCCACTCAAGGACATTCAGAGTCTTGTCCCGAAGACACTCCTGCGTTGTCTTGGCTGTGTCCTTAGGGTCGTTGTCCTGTTGGAAGGTGAACCTTCTCTCCAGTCTGAGGTCCTGAGCGCTCTGGAGCAGGTTTTCATCAAGGATCTCTCTGTACTTCGCTCCATTCATCTTTCCCTCGTTCCTGACTAGTCTCCCAGTCCCTGCCACTGAAAAACATCCCCACAGTATGAAGCTTCCACCACCATACTTCACTGTAGGGATGGTGTCAGGTTTCCTCCAGACGTGACGCTTGGCATTCAGCTCAAAGAGTTCAATCTTGGTTTCATCAGACCAGAGAATCTTGTTTCTCATGGTCTGAGAGTCTTTAGGTGACTTTTGGCAAACTCCAATCGGGCTGTCATGTGCCTTTTACTGAGGAGTGGCTTCCGTCTGGCCACTCTACCTTAAAGACCTGATTGGAGGAGTGCTACAGAGATGGTTGTCCTTCTGGAAGGAACTCTGGAGCTCGGTCAGAGTGACCATCAGGTTCTTGGTCATCTACCTGACCAAGGCCCTTCTCCCCCAATTGCTCAGTTTGGCCGGGCGGCCAGCTCTAGGAAGAGTCTTGGTGGTTCCAAACGTTTTCCATTTAAGAATGATGGAAGCCACTGTGTTCTTGGGGACCTTCAATGCTGCAGAAATGTTTTGGTACCCTTCTCCAGATCAGTGCCTCGACACAATCCTGTCTCGGAGCTCTACAGACAATTCCTTCGACCTCAAGGCTTGGTTTTTACTCTGACATGCACTGTCAACTGTGGGACCTTATATAGACAGGTGTGTGCCCTTCCAAATCATGTCCAATGAATTGAATTTACCACAGGTGGACTCAAATCAAGTTCTAGAAACATCTCAAGGACGATAAATGGAAACAGGTTGCACCTGAGCTCAATTTCAAGTCTCATAGCAAAGGGTCTGAATACTTATGTAAATAAGGTATTTCTGTTTATTTTTAATAAATCTGCAAAAAATTATAAAAACCTGTTTTCGCTTTGTCATTATGGGGTATTGTGTGTAGATTGAGGAGGAAACATGTTTATTTAATCCATTTTAGGATAAGGCTGTAACGTAACAAAATGTGGGAAAAGTCAAGGGGTCTGAATACTTTAGGAATGCACTGTGTATATATATATATATATTGGTAACTGCCAAAATTAAGGAAACACTTGAGTAAATGAGAGTTCTGGTGGATCTGTTTTGGTGTGGGTAGGGGAGGGAATGGCCGGCAGGGAGAGCTCAGTTGGTAGAGCATGGTGTTTGCAACTCCAGGGTTGTGGGTTCGATTTCCACGGGGGGCCAGTATGAAAAATAATAAAATAATGTGTGCACTCACTAACTGTAAGTCGCTCTGGATAAGAGCGTCTGCTAAATGACAAAAATGTAAATGTAAAATGTGTGGGGTGCATTTTCCTGGCATGGTTAAGGTCCACTCAACCCCTTAGAGGGCAAGGTAAACACCAATAAATACGCAGCCATTCTGAGTGATCACCTTCAACCTATGGTAGAATCATTTCTATCCAGGATGACAATGGCCCCCATCCACAGGGCACGAGTGGTATTGATGAGCATGAAAGCAATGTAGGCCGTCCCAACCCAATTCAACACCTATGGGAGATTCTGGGCCGTCCCAACCCAATTCAGTTGTCCAACCATTCACACCTTGGAGATTGGGCCGTCCCAACCCAATTCAACACCTATGGGAGATTCTGGACCGTCCCAACCCAATTCAACACCTATGGGAGATTCTGGGCCGTCCCAACCCAATTCAACACCTATGGGAGATTCTGGGCCGTCCCAACCCAATTCAACACCTATGGGAGATTCTGGGCCGTCCCAACCCAATTCAACACCTATGGGAGATTCTGGGCCGTCCCAACCCAATTCAACACCTATGGGAGATTCTGGCCGTCCCAACCCAATTCAACACCTATGGGAGATTCTGGACCTGTCCCAACCCAATTCAACACCTATGGGAGATTCTGGGCCGCCAACCAATTCACACCTATTGAGATTCTGGCACCGTCCCAACCCAATTAACACTATGGGAGATTGGACCGTCCAACCAATCAACTCCATAGGAGTTCTGGCTCCCAACCCAATTCAACACCTATGGGAGATCTTGCGTCCAACCAATTAACTATGGGAGCGGGCGCCTGACACAGCGTTTTCCACCACCATCAACAAAACACCAAATTATGAAATTTCTTGTGGAAGAATGATGTCACAGCACTCCGATAGAGTTCCAGACACTTGTAGAATCTATGCCAAGGTTCTGGTGGCTCGTGGTGGCTCGTGGTGGCTCGTGGTGGCCCAAAGCCCTATTAAGACAGTCTATGT